CTCCACAATACCCAGCTGTTTTTTTTTTCTTTTTTTGCGACAGTCTCAAGCTATTGTCTTGGGTAGAGTGCCATGGTGTCATAGCTCACAGCAACCTCCAACTCTTGGGCTCAAGTGATCCTTTTGCCTCAGTTTTTCTATTTTTAGTACAGTGGTACCAATTTTGCTCAGCCTGGTATGGAAATCATGAGCTCAAGCAATCTACCCACCTCAGCCTCCCAGAGTGCTAGGATTACAGGTGTGAGCCACAGCGCCTGGCCTTGCTTTCCCATCTTCAAAATTAATAAACTGATGGTGAGTAATTGTCTCAATGTCTGCTGACCAGTCGACAACGGAACCAGGACTCCAGCACCAACGCTTAGGGCTCCCTGTTGAGGGAAGGGACTGCACAGCTGGCTTCTGACGTTGGCTTCTCTTGCAGGTGCGCTGGTACCCTTCCTCTGACACCACCCAGCAAGGATGGAAGTACCGGCAGTTTTGTTAGTTCTCCAGTAAGTGTTGACCCCAAAGCCACAATGAAAGCCGTGCTTGACGACCTCCTGTGAGGGTGTGGTTCCTCCCTCTGCTGAGTCCTGGGCACGGGCTAGTGCTAGGCCTAGCCCAGAGCTTGTTCCCTGGCACATCTGACTGGGTTTTGCCCTTCTCCTCCCACCCTGTGACCGCCTGCTATCCACTTGTACAGCGTCCTCCCTAAGGACCTCTACTCATGACCACCTCTTCTCCTCCGTCCAGGTCTTGTCACCGGGTAGTTGGTTCTGGAACCTGTCTAATGGTGCCAGAATAGGTGCCCTGAGATTCCACTGCCCCCAGGCAGCCCGTGCAGAGCTGCTACTGCCCTCCAGACTGTGAATCTGAAGCCTGACTCAGTGGACTGCTTCCTATTTCCCTTCCCTCTTCCTTAGCCCTGTGCCCTGTTCTGTCCCCAAGGCCTCCCAGGAGGATTTGGGGGATGACCTTCCTGTTGGGGCACCCAGATCCAGCTCGGACGCCTCACTGGGACCCAGAAGGCCTGACCTCGGGCGCAAACTTGCTTCTGTAGCTCCACCTCAAGGAAACAAGGCGTTTAATTTTGCATGTTTCTGGCATGGATTAAGACACTTAAACTTGTGTATATGTGAGTGTACAGTTTGTTCTCCCACTGTGTCACCATAGCAACAGGTCCTGGCCACCAGTGCTTCATCCTGCCTGGTCCCTCTCCACCCCACCCCTGCACCCACCCACTTGGGGCCTGAGTCCTCCTTCCCTGATGGCCCAGCATCCCCACCACCCACACACCATTCCAGGCTTCACCACCGCCCAACAGATATGTTTGCTTTCTCATTTTAAATCAGGGTCCTCCACATCCTTCTCAGATGGGCCAGTGATCGTAAGAAAGCCCTTGCTCTGCCCACGTCGCTTACCTCTCCATTGCACACCCTGCCTGGTGCTGCTCCTTGTTCTTTCCAAACCTTGAAACCAACCAAAACCGTGAGAAGTATTTTTGTACCCTGTGTAACAAAATATTTATGCATCATAAAGGATTTTTCATGTGTGTACCATTAATTATTAAAGAGACTTTGTTCGCCCTGTCAGATAAGTTTAATGTTTAGTTTGAGGCACGAAGAAGAAAAGGGTTTCCATTCTTCAGCAATAAGAGTTTGTGTCAGGCATTCGTTTAAGGAAACTGAAGGAGAAATTGTGCAATTTTCTTTTGTTTTGTGAGCATATCAGTGCTTTACCTTTAGCCGCAGCTATGACTGTCTTGCCATTTCAGACTTGGGAGACTAGGTGGCTGTCGTAATTGCTGATCCTGTGAGAATGTGAAACTGGATAATATATGAAATGCAAAATAAAAAAAAAAAAGTCAAAATGACTGCTCTCTGACCTTTGCTTCTACCATCCTTGAGATGCAGACTGCCATTCACAGGGCAGACCAGAGAGATGTCAAGAGTGTCGGGGAAGGAAGTGAACTGGGCCCAGGCCCAGTGGTGCTGGGGCTGGGCCTTGGCACCCGGCCTCTTCCTCCTCCCCTCTTCTGTCTAGCTTAAAAGACAAAGGCCTAGAGGGGAAGTGACTTGCCCAAGGGTCCTACAGCTCGCCCCATGCGTGTCCGTCCACTCCTCTTAATTCCTTCACTTCCTCCTGTTAGCAATTCTGAGTTCAGAATTCCAGCTAGCAGTTGCATCATTCATGGTACTGCTGTCTACTTGGCTTAACCCTTCAAGGCCTATGGTCTTTGTAAGCCCTCTAGTAGAAAGGGACTCAGGTTTGGAATGTTGAGCCCTCTGCACGGTGCCTGTCCTGGGTGTGCATCTTGTGAGGCTGTTCTGGAGGGAAGGATAGGACCCAGGAATCTTGCCCAGAAGCAGTTAACCTAATCCACCCTGTAGGCTCTGAACTACAACTGACACTGATTCCTAGGAGCAGGAGCAAATGTGTGTGAAGGTCAGGGAAGCTGCTGAGTGCCAGGAGCAGAGGCTGGCAGGGGCCAGGTGTCAGGGTGCCTGTAGTTGCCTTGATTCTTCCCTTTTGTGACTTGGGGTCTCAGTTGCCTCATCTGTGAAGTGGTGGTTGACATCCTTTCTAGCTCTTACTAGAGGGCTAGCATTTTCCACACACTCCTGGGAAAGCTGCCCTGTGCCCAGCCTCCAGCCCACACTCAAAGCCCTGCCTAAGAAAGGGGGAGGGTAGCAGAGGCCTCAGCAGCCCCCACCTCCACCCCACCCTGCATTTCCTGGTCAATTCCTCACCTGCACCTGGAGTGACCACTCCCTGCTTCTCCCCTTCTCCTGAATCCCAGCTCTGCACTGGGCGATGTGAGTCTGAGTGTTGATGAGTGTGGCAGCTGTCAGAGACTGGTGACACATGCAGCCCAGGTGCTGTGAGGGCAGAGGAGGAGCCTGTCCAGGCATAGGCCCTGGAGGTAACAGTGGCAGCAGGGTGGGTTACCTGGCCCTCAGAAGAGGCGCTAGGGGCAGAGCAGCTGGTGGCTGTGTTTGTGCTGGGAAGGGGTGTTGACGCTTTTCCTGTGTGTACCGCTCCCCTCACTGCAGTATTTGAAACAGCTGCCACTCCCCAAGTGAGCAAGGCCTTCCCAACCTGCAGCCCATGCCTGACCTACTTCAGCTATGTCAGGAACCACTGAGTCTTCCTGAGGTAGTGAATTATTTAGCTGGGGCGCCTGGGCCATTCTGAGAGGGGCTAAGAAAAGCTGTTCCATAATTTAAAGGCCCCTGCGCCTGTGGCTTCCCTGGAGGGCCTCCTTCACGCTTGCTTTGGTGAACAGGGCCCACGCCTGGGTCTGAGAGGAGGAGCCAGGGGGCAGGTGGAGGCCCTGCAGCCACTCGTCGTGAGAGGGCTATCCAGCTACACTGGGGGCTTTTCTCAAGGTGGGGCCTCTGCAGAAAGGCCTTGGAGGACGGTTATGTTTGGACCAAACTTGAGCTGACAGGTCTCCAGTAGTTAAAGGACATCCTAGCAAGGACATAGTCAGGCTGGGGACCGAAGCTGCTGTATCCTGACTCCCTGTCCCATGCTCTTCCCAGAAAGCATGTTATTCCTTCCCAGAGGTTTTTAATCCTGGTCTCTGATACAGGTGAAAAGCATCTTTCTTTTTTTTTTTTTTTTGAGACAGAGCCTCAAGCTGTCCCCCTGGGTAGAGTGCCGTGGCATTACAGCTCACAGCAACCTCCAACTCCTGGGCTCAAGCGAGTCTCCTGCCTCCGCCTCCCAAGTAGCTGGGACCACAGGCACCCGCCACAACGCCCGGCTATTTTTTGTTTGCAGCCGTCATTGTTGTTTGGCGGGTCCGGGCTGGGGATTCCAACCCGCCACCTTAGGTATACGTGGCTGGCGCCTTAGCCGGTTGAGCTATAGGTGCTGAGCCAAAAAACATCTTTCCTTTGTGAAAGGTATTTAGGGGTCTGAGAATAACCAGGGTTCTTTTGGTCTGGGGTCCCTTCCCCACAGCACTAAAATAAGAGGCCATCTTTGTGTGTTCCTCTTCCATGCTCCAGGGAGGACAGTGCTAAGCAGATAACAGGAGGCATGGGAGCCCTGCTGCCCCTGTGCCCTGGTCAGGATTTGACACTCCTTGTGACAGAGATGGGGCTCACACCCAGCCAAGGCTATTCTTGGGCACTGCTGCCTGGCCAGCACTTTTTAGGGATGTGACTTATCTTGGCACCTTGACAAAACAGCAGGCTTCCAGGTTCCAGGCTGTGTGGCCTGACATGAAGCATCCCTGGGAATCAGGGTAAAGGCACAGGTTGCATAGGGCCCAGAGGTCTCCGGAGGGACCAGGACACACTCCTGTCCCCTCTCCTCCCTGTCCCGCCCTGTCTGGCACTTGCCCTCCAGAGCTCCATTTTTTTTTTTTTTTTAATAGAGACAGAGTCTCACTTTGTTGCCCTCAGTAGAGTGCCATGGTATCACAGCTCACACAGCAACCTCCAGCTATTTTTTTGGCAGTTTGGCTGGGCTGGGTTCAAACCTGCCACCCTTGGTATATGGGGCTGGCACCCTATTCACTGAGCCACAGGCGCCACCCCAGAGCTCCATTTTATTTTATTTTATTCATTTATTTGTTTTTGAGACAGTCTGAAGCTGTCACCCTGGGTAGAGTGCTGTGGCGTCACAACTCACAGCAACCTCAAACTCTTGGGCTTACTCTTGCCTCAGCCTCCCAAGTAGCTGGGACTATAGGCGCCTACCATAATGCCCAGGTATTATTTGGTTATAGTTGTCGTTGTCTGGCGGGCCAGAGCTGGATTCAAACCCACCAGCTCTGGCGTATGTGGCTGACACCCTAGCTGCTTGAGCTATAGGTGCCGAGCCTTGTTTAGTTTTTTGAGACAGAGTCTCAAGCTTGCTCTGGGTAGAGTGCAGTGGCATCATAGCTCATAGCAACCTCCACTCTTGGGCTCAAGCAATCCTCTTGCCTCAGTTTTCCTATTTTTAGTAGAGACAGGGTCTCACTCTTGCTCAGACTGGTCTCCAACACGTGTGAGCTCAAGCAATCCACCTGCCTCAGACTCCTAGAATGCTGGGATTATAGACGTTAGCCAACGTGCCCAGCCCCAGAGCTCCTTTTTTAACTGTGAGGTGTTTTTTTGTCAAGTGCTAATATCCCTGAGAAACTGGGCTAAGCCCCTCCAAGTAGGGTTAAGGAAAGTTCCAGAAGATGACCATGAAGGGGAAAGGTAGAAAATGGGAAGAAGGACTTCCCTATAAAGGTGTCAGGAGGAGGGAGCAAAATCAGCTCCATCCTGGGCCAGGCCCACCCCACCCCCTCAGCCCTCCAGGTGAGTCTGCCCTGTGGGCTGGGTGGGCCTGGACCACTCCAAGAGAGCAGGCCCACTCCCTCACCCGTGTTCTTAGGCACAGAGAAGGGACTATGGGGGAGGCATCCTTGAGGGGAGAAAGACTGGGCAGACCTCTGTCCCAGCAAGTCCCAAAGCTGACCAGAATGGAGAGTGAGCTCCTGACCCATTTTCCCTAGTCTCCTCAACCAACACCCAACCCTCCTACACGCTCGCCTCACACACATACTGGGCAGTGTCAACCACATAGATGGCTTAGATGGCGCCCCTGCTCTCTGGCTTTTGGTTGGAACTGGTAAGAACTCTGCCGTAGTTTGGAGGGAGGTCAATGAGTGAGAAGAGGTGCCCTTGGCCATTGTCTTCATAGCTTTGGAGCAAACCCCTTAGTGTGTTTTTCTGAAGGGCCCTTGAGATGACCCTAGAAAACCAGGATCAAATGTCAGCATTGAGAGTGTTTAGTTCCCTTCCCTCTGCCATTTTGCAAATGAGAGAGTTGAAGTAGAGAGAAGGTAAACTCTTTACTTTACTTTAGTTTCTGTAAACTAAAACAAGCACTTTGGGAGGCACCTATGGCTCAGTGGGTAGGGCGCCGACCCATATACTGAGGGTGGCAGGTTCAAACCCAGCCCCAGCCAAACTGCAACAACAACAAAAAAATAGCCGGGCATTGTGGTGGGCACCTGTAGTCCCAGCTACTTGGGAGGCTGAAGCAAAAGAATCGCCTAAGCCCAGGAGTTGGAGGTTTCTGTGAGCTGTGATGCTACAGCACTCTACCTCGGACAATAAAGTGCGACTCTAGTCTCTTAAAAAAAAAAAAAAAAAAAAAAAAGCACTTTATTGTCGGGTAGACAGTGGCCAATGCATTCCATCTCCCAGTCCAGTGCTCCAGCCCCACACACATGGCCGTTCCAGAACTGCTCAAAGGGAGGCGATAGATGATGGAGGCCACAGGGTTGGAAGACTCTGCAGTTGCAGAAGCTGGGACTAGAGCTCAAGTCCGCTGACTCCTCCTCCCAGCATGCCATACACTGCTGTCTGCCTGGGGTACCTGTGTCTAACTATGACCTGATCTTTCTCTGGAAAACTAAGTTTTGTCTCGGTGCCTGTAGCTCAAGCTGCTAAGGCGCCAGCCACATACATCAGAGCTGGCGGGTTTGAATCCAGCCCAGGACTGCCAAACAATGACAATTACAACCAAGAAATGGCCAGACGTGGCGGGTGCCTGTAGTCCCAGCTACTTGGGAGGCTGAGG